GTACGTAAGGTGCTACATACATAAACAGTAGCTTGTATTATCACACCTGATGCTCACATCAAAGCAGACTTTTGGCCGAGAACATGATCTATCCTTTCATGGCATTGCCCCTCCATGGCCTCTTCTTTCTCTCGGCCATCCTAGAATGCCCAGTTCCAACATTCTCTGCCTCCCTGAGACCTTTCCTCGTTCCCTCAGATGGAAGTGATTCTCTTTCCTCTGACCCTTGTACCTTTCTCAGAGCTTTTATTTATCACACTCTCTTATGCTGAAGTTATTATTATAAATTATCTCCCTAGTAGATGACAGGTCGCCCTCAATGCACACAAGGCCATATTCAGTAAATGTTTCTTAAATTTGCAGAAAAAGCACTCACTGAACCGTCAGTTCGCCAAAATCTAAAACAACCCTTCTCTGGAAGGGTGACAATTCAGCCTTGTTTGTCCTGGTTAAATATTACTGTTTGCCTGGTACAGGATTAACTACCTCCAAGACAAACCAGAGCCTTGGCTCCATGGGCACTCCCATTTCCCAGTGAAATGTCTTCTATGTACTCTTCCTCACTCCCCAAACCAAGGAGACTTGGTTTTTCCCTCTCTTTATGGAAGATAACAAGGGAAGCATTCTCATTCAGGTTATCTGACAAGCTAGGGTAGCTGAAAATGCCCAGGATCGTGCTTCTTAGTAGAGTCAGAGGACAGGACAAACACTCCAGGCTACAACCTCTCCCTGGGACATCTTCTCTGCAGAGAGGCCAAGCACACCAATTTCCCTATCTAGTATCATGCACCCCCTAAAAGGCACCAGCAGCACCAGGCCATTCATCAGACTCTAGACCTACCCTGGGCAGACTGAGACACCAGGATAAAGGTACAGGGAATGTCAAGTGACACGGTTCACATGGCCAAGTCCTATGACTTCCTTCCCCTTCCACAATGGAGACATGTTTGAAATCCTTGGGAAATAGCTACACTACAGAGATTATCTTTAAATTGCAAAGAAGCAACATGAGCAAGTGAAATTATGTTATTTGGCAGTAGGCTGGGGCTGAAAGCTTTCCTTTGTTTGGTAGAACTTCAATTTATTCCACTCTCCCTCTCTCAGAGTTTTTGGGATTGGCTTAGCAGAAATTTCCAGTTAGAAAAGGGGCCCCAGAATTAACCTGGTAGGTTACCATTTTTCTTGAACCCTAAATGAAAGCAAAGTTTATCACTATATCAGGGGTCCCTGACCTTTTCTGCATCATGGACTTTTTTTTTTTAGCAGTCTGGCAAAGTCTACAAACTGCTCCTCAGAATGCTCCATATGTTTTGATGTTTCTGTTGTTTTTAATTAAAAATAGAAGGAAAGTTTAAATTTAACTTTGATGTAGTGAAAAATTAAGATGCAATTTTGTTCCCATCCAAGTTCCCAGAACTCCTAAAAACTCTCCACCGACCCTTCCCCAGACTCTGGGCCAACTTGAAGTTTAATGATAATCTAGCAGTAGTAGGAGTCTCAGGAACAGCCTTAGGCCAAGCCATCTCCTCCCCAGAAAGTGCAGAGCCAACAAACTGTAATTAAAGGAGTGATCAGTGTGTGCTGATGAAATGAAACTCATCGAGGTTGTGAAGGTTATCACCTTACTCAAAACTTCCCCTTTTGTCCAAAGAATGCAATAGTCTTCTGAACACATCCTGGAATGAAAAGTATGCTAATTGCTCCTCTCCCTAAACATTTCCAATCATCAGAATTATTCCCATGTTCAAGTAAAGGAGTCAGAAAAGTACATCCCCATCAGTAAGAGGCAGCAGAGAACGGGAGTAAGGAAGCGAGAGGCTCTTCACTTCTCTGGTGGATTCTATTTCCATTCCACAGGATAAAGGTCGAAGAAGATCTTGGCTTGTGAGAGTTTATAATCCCTATTTTCTCTTTAGGTGCTTCCTTGAACTATGTGTCACCACCCTGAGTAAATGAACATGTGCTCACACCCAAGCCTCCTGGGCCCTACACCCCATCAGTTATCCTACATAGGCAGAAAGGGAGCAGACTTTCCACACAGCCAGAGAAAGGTCCTAAAGGAGACTAGCTCTGAGCAGGGTCAGGACTTCAGTGTCTGGTATGCAGAGCTTCCTCTCAAACTCCACCTGGGGCCCTAGCACAGGTTTGCAAGGAGCAGCATTTCAACCAGATCTCTCTCTTCTATGGGCACAAGGTCACCAGTCAGATGCTGCTGTTTATGGGACCCCAGCTGCTTCTTGTTCTGCCCATATCCTGGTGCTGCCGACTTGGCCCCTTAACACTTCCATGACAACAGAGAGATACCGGATTTCACTTGAATGCAGAAAAAGCCTCCAGAGTGCTTAGCATAATTTCTGGGGCTGGAGATTACACACATCAGTTGGAGATTCTGGAATAGTGCCCCGCCCAAAACACTGCTAAGAAAAAGGGGCAGGCTTCTGGCTCCTCATCTTGCCTCGCTCCAAAGCTGGAGACAAACCTTTGGCATTTTTGGACAGCTGGCTGTCCTTGCAGGTGAACATGCATGAATCACTTGTTTCTAGACCCAACAGGACAAAAAAAAGCAAGTAAACTTTTGTCCTGCTCACCCTTAATCTCCCACATTTTCAGTAAAACCTAACTCAACCTATACTCTTCGATTTCAGCCCTGAGTTGATACTGGGTGGAACATACCTTTAAATCAGCCATCTCCTTGTATTAACAGGCCATAGACCTTTACTGGTCCTCGGTTAGGAGACAAATTTCCTACAGACGGATTTGTCAGAAAACCTTATGCTGCAAGGTAATGAATGTTTTGTATTCTTAGCATTTCTTAGTATTCTTGGCAAAGATACTGTAATGATTTGCTACACCGTTAGTGAGTTTGTCTGAGGCCAGATTTGAATTCGAGTCTTCCTGATTTCAGACCAGGGGCTCTATCCACTGCACCGCCTAGCTGCCCCACCCCTTTTCATAAACATGAAAATGTTGTTTACTTGTCATTGATTACTCAGAAAGGTTTGGAAAAAGGATATCTATCATGGTCAAGTCATGGTAAAAAAAAAAAAAAGAGAGAGAGAGACCAGTATAGATTTGAATGCCCTCCCACTGGCTAGGTCTTCCATGGTCTGAAGTAGCAAGGATTTTCATTCTCACATTAGTATACAACTGTTATCACATAATTAAAGTCTTCTTTCACTTTGATATTCTTGGAGACTGAAAGGGGGAAGGAAGTAAAAAGGGTGTGCTAAGTTGCAGGAAGGACTCAGGACATCAGCAACAGTCCCATTCCCCTTCCGTGCCCCCTAAACTGGCAGGCCCCTCCATGTCTACTTTAAGGAGGAAAGTCCTGTGAACCAACACAATGAGTTCTACTAAGTGTGCAGGAAATTTAAGACAAGTGAATACTCAGCACAAGCCATGTGGACAGGATAAGTCCTTAGCTACTGGTCCCCAAAAGGAGCTTTCCCAAACCAGGTTCCAGCCCACAAAGAACTTGGAAACACTTTCCCCCTTCTGTAAAGCAAATACACCTCATTTCAGAATACCAAAGCCACAAAGTTAGGGCTGAAAGGGGCTTCAAGATCATCTAGTCCACTGGGGAGGAAACTGAAGTCCAGGAGAATGGGGGGTGGGGCAGGGTAACCTGCTTCAGGGCACACAGCTATTAAATGACAGGCCAGGACCAGGACAGAGGTCCTCGAATCCAACCTGTACCTCAAGAATCCCTACAATGTCCCTGACAAGACTTCATCCAGACTCCAGTGGAAGACTTCCAACAGGCCAGGCTTCCTCTTCTCCCCTTTTCTCTTTAATTCCACCTGGATGTAGTAAACACAACCATAAACTCCTCCCCACCTCTCAGCTTCATTGGTACAAAAGTCAGCAGAGATACTACAAATCTATGAACTCATTTATAAGTTGGAAACCTTGGATTTTATATCTGTGTGGATGTGTATTCCCAAGATTTCTGCCTTTCCTTCTTTCCTTCAATGCCCAACATTTCTTCCTGACTTGATCAGACTAAAGCAAAAGTGCTTTAGTAAAAGCACTATATAAATAGTAATGATCACAAACAGATTAAGACTGGGAGGTGGGGGTCTCTGTGGTGTTAGCTGTGTGTTTCCCCAGTGGGGGGGAGGAACGGTTACTGGGGGGGGACGAGAGAGAAGGGGGTGTCTCTGAAGACAGCAGTCATGCTTCTATTCATCAATTTCTCCTTACTGTGTCCAAGCAGGGAGAGGCAGGGGACCAGTCCAAGCGGTTTACCAAACTTAACACTTCAAGGCCCTGATTGGTTGGTTACCTTCCTCCTTTCATTTTATATTCCTCTCCCCTCAAACCCATTTTAACCTTTACCTTTCCCCTTTCCTTCCTCCCCCAACATTCACTTTCCCTATCCACTCCTCCCCAGGTCCTTCTTCCTCTTATAACCACTTTCCCTATCCCTCCCCCATCCCCCTTGTAACCACAGTCACCGGCCCCTTCCCCTTATCACCACCTTACCCTTTCTCTAACTTACGTCTACTTTCCCTACTCCCTTCAATAACTACTTTCCCTGCCCCTCTCCAAGCCGACCCTTCAGAATCTTTTCCCCAGGTCCCACCCCCCTCATACCCTTACAAACAAGTACTTTTCTTGCCCTCTCCTCCTAGGACCTCTTCATCCTCCCCCTTCCAACTACTTTCCCCGCCCCTCCCTCTTATTTACAACTACCTTCCCTGTCCCCTCCCCCTTATTTACAACCACTTTCCCTGCCCCCCCTCTTGTTTACAACCACTTTCCCCGCCCCTCCCCATTATTTGCAATCACTCTCGCTCCCCCCTTCTCCAACCCCGCCCCTCCGCAGCGGTCCACCTGTTGCTGATCCCGCCCCCCGGCCCTGATTGGTCAGACCTCGGGCTCCCGGCTCGCTTATTGGGTGTGGGGCCCGTTCCTCGGGCGCCACGTCTCCCGGCGCGGAGAGGCCCGGGCCGCGGCCCCCCGAGCAGTCTCCCTGGGACGGCAGGAGCATCCCATACCTGGAAAGGGTTCACGTCCACCGGGTCCGCGAAGGGGTTGGTGTCGAAGGCAGACATGGTGGGCGGGGAGGGGAAAGGAGGGGTGGCAGGAGTCCACAAGCGCAGCAGGCACTACGACGCTCCTGGCACCCGGATTCCACCGCTCTCTCTGCGGAGACCCGCCACTTCCGGAAGGAAGTCGTGCCTGCGCAGGCGCAGCGGCGAATAGGGCGGCCTTTGAGGCATCACAGCGCTCGGCTCCGCCCTCCCTCCCTGGCAGGCGTTACGCGCTTGCGCAGTGCCTCCTTGTTATGTCTTCCCTCCCTCTCTCCCCCTCCCCCCAGTCCCACTTGCGGCTTCTGCTCCGGAGCTGACATATGGACCAGGAAGCCCAGGAGTAAGAGACACGTAGGGCCCTGACCCGTTCTTAGTCGTATGACCCTAAGCCTCGATTTCTTCATCTGTAAAATGGGGATGAGCATGTTTCACAGGGATCTAGTGAAGTGTTGAACGTTTCTTTATTCCCTTGTTTTTGACCCTCTTTCCGAAGTGGGATACAGCTCATCCCTTTCTTATAGGTGGCTAAGTGGATGGAGTGCTGCAACTGCATTCAGGACGCCCCGAGTTCAAAGCCAGCCCTAGACACTTGCTAGCTGTGTGACCCTAGCAAGTCACTTTTCTTTTCCCTTGGTTTCCTCAGCTATCAAAAAGAGGCACAAGCACAGCCCCTTCCTCCCAGGGCTGTTGCATCAAAAGAGCTTTGCAAACCGTAAAGCTCGATGGCACTGACAGCTATTATTACATTATTAGGAGCAGGTCCATCGAAGCTTTTTAAATGATGCAGAAGAAGTGGGGGGCGGGGTACATGCTATGGAGAGGTGCCATCTGCTGCCTTCCTGGGGAAGTCTCTAACCAAACCCCAGTTCCTCCCGTGGCTTTGGTGTGACTTAACAATAGTTGAAGTTGCAGAAGAAGCATACTGATTATGCCGGATTTGGGGAGAAGTAAAAAAAAAAAACAACCCAAACCAAGGTGGGAAAAGGAAGCCTGGGTGTTGTGTTTTGTTTTGTTAAGTTGTGAAGAGCGACTTTAATATTCCCAGGGGTTTTCATGGTTTGTTTCTCATGGTTTGAATCACTTGCATCTCGGTTTAATTTGCTCATGGCAGCTTCCCCACTGAGGCTGGTAGCAACACAGGTACCACCTGCATTTGGCAGGTGAGGAAACTGAGGCCCAGAGGAAGGAAAAAATTTACCCAGGGTCTCCACAAATTGTTGGCAGAGGTAGGAAAAAGTCAGGCCAAGTCAAGTCAATAAGCATTTATTAAAGTACCCAATATGTGTCAGGAATGGTGCTAAGCACTGGGGATATAAAGAAAAGCCCCCCTCCCCCCAAAAAGGAAAAAAAGTCCCACCTTGAGGGAGCTTACAGCCTAATGGGGAAGACTGGTGTCACTGGATCCCAGAGTACACAGGGAGGAGTAAAGTACAAGAATACTGGAAAGGTGTTAGGGGCCCAGGATGTGAAAGGCTTTGAGGGTACTTTCTTTTTGATTCTGCAGGTGATACGGAGCCAGTGGAGTTTACTGGCAGGGCTGGGATGTGACATGGTCAGACCTGCACTTCAGGAAGGTCGGTTTGACAGCTGAGCGGAAAGTGGACTGGAGTGAGGAAAGAACTGAGGCACCCCGCTCCCACCCCCAGCAGGCTTTGCAACAGTCCAAGTGAGAGGGGATAAGGGCCTGAGCCAAGGCGTCCGAGGAGAGAAGGGGGCACGGGTGAGAGATGCTAATAAGTGGCAAGATTGAACCAACAGTGGGGGTGAGAGATCAAGGAGCTGAGGACAACACCTAGGTTTGTAGGCCTGGATTTCCAGGAGGATGATGGTGTCCTGGACAATAAGAGGAAAGTTGGGAAGAGGGGAAGATTTGAGGAAAGATGAGTTCAGTTCTCCTGGTCCAGCGGTGGGGAACCTTCGGCCTCAAGGCCGCATGTGGCCCTCTAGGTCCTCAGTGCGGCCCTTTGACAGGATTCTGGATTATGTCAAAGGGTGGCACTTGAGGACCTAGAGGGCCACTTGTAGCTTTGAGGCTACAGGTTCCCCACTCCTGGACTAGTCTGTGCCAATTCTACTGGAAAGGGTTCCTATACCTGAAATGTAGGTAGAGGGTTGATGTTGGGAGGGAGGAGGGAGGAAGAGGTTAGGGAACTGAGGTGAGGGATCCAGAGCTCAGCAACAGCCAGCTCCAGGGCAGACGGGAGTAGTACAATCTTGTCTCCTGTGTGTGCCTTGTTTTCTTCAGCTAGACTGTGCCCTTGGGAGGCAAGGATCACATAGCATTTCTTGTATATCCCCATGGTCCCCACCACAATACTAGGCACATGGCAAGTACGCACTATGGGATTAGCAGCAGAAATTCCACCTTGGAGCAACTCCACGGTTCTGCCAGTCACTGAGGATAGACAGGGCAAGGCCAAGGGGAAAAGCAGCACATTTGGGAATCCAGAGACCTGTGTGCAAATCCCAGCCGTGGACTTGTGTTTGGATAACCTCCTTTAAAAAGTTTCTCTGCAAGGACAATTTTAGCCTCAGTCTAAGATGGGATCCTCCTGGCTCAGTTTCCCCATTATATTCTTTTGAAAAGGAATGTTACTGGGGCAGCTAGGTGGCACGGTGGATAGAGCATTGGCCTTGGTGTCCGGAAGACCCGAGTTCAAAGCCAGCCTCAGACTTGTGACTCTGGGCAAGTCACTTAACCCCAGTTGCCTCACCAAAAAAAAAAAACCAAACAAATGGTGAAAAGGAATGTTACCCACCTGACTATTCCTGAGTCTGGCAATGAAGTGGATTTGATACTGCATGGTTGGAAAACTGAATTAACTGAATCCAAACAGAGCTAAGGATGCTTTATCCTCTCATATTTGGGCCCTATAACTAGTCCCTGCTTTATATCTGGACCCTGCAGTCTTTTTTGTCAGATTTCGTCTTCCAGAGTACAGACCATTCACCTACAGTTGGTAGCAAACAGCGGGTACCAGCCAATGTCTCCCCATGTTTCCTTGGATGCAGCCTGTGCTTGGTGCCAGTCAGCTTCCTCTTTGGGACCCTTGCCAGCAGGAAGCAGTTTCAGAAGCCGAGACTTTCGCCCCTTACACCAAAAAAGAATTTGTGTCCCATTTGTTTGGGGGGGGGAATGATGAGGATGGGATCTAGACCCTAAAAAGGACAAACCCTGCACTTTCCCACGTGGCCAGATCTCTGGCATTCCCCTGAGGCTATAATCCCATCAACTGGCCTTTCACTGTGGACCTCCCCGTGGTCCCAGGCCACTTCCCACCCTTAATCCTATCTAGGCTCTATTCCCCCTAGGCCAGTGGTCCAGGTCCCTGGAATTCTGTTACCTCATAGATTACTTGGCCACTCCTAGATCCCTCCCATAGCCTTAAGGTATATAAGGTCCATCTTGTCTCCATAAAGGTGCTTAGATTCTTAAAATCTAGCCAATAGCTCACTAATGTTCAGACTCCTTAAAAGTCTGCCCAGTATGATGTTGTAATAAACCTTGTCTTTGGCTGAAAAAAAAAGTTTCTCTACAAGTACTAGGAAATAATATTTTTCTTTAAAAAGCCCTTTCTCAAATTCTTTGGAAAACCCCTTGGTAAAGTGGATTGTTAGGTCAAAACCAAAGGGGGAAAAAAAACATTTCATCTGGGCTACCCCATAGGAAGTGCCCTCTTTCACCTAACAGGCCGTATTCTCATTGCCCCCATTCTACTTAGACTTGTTCAGCTGTTTTCAATCCTGTCTGACACTTTGTGACCCCATTTGGGGTTTTCTTGGCAAAGACACTGGAGTGGTTTGTCATTTCCTTCTCCATTTTACAGATGAGCAAACTGAGGCAAACAGAGTGAAGTAACTTGCCCAGGGTCCCACACCTAAGTAAGTTGTCTGAGGCTGGATTTGAACTCAGGTCCTCCTGATTCCAGGCTCCTTGATCTACCCACTGCACCAACCAGCTGCCCTAACTTAGACTTACAATATAGATTTGTGGAAGGGATCCCATTGGTTCCTCAAGGAAGAGGGTGGCCCAGAAGTGGACTAGAGATAGGGTTGCTCAATTGTTCTGAATGTCAGTTCAGAACTATGTTTTTACATATCTTCATTCTCTTTCTTCAATACCTATAAATGTTACCTGAAAGGAGCACAGTCATGTCTCTCAGGGAGGGCAAGAGGGACCGTGCCAATGTTGGCATCTTTCTTTGAATTTACATTAATGTTAAACCAAATACAGTTGTTTCTGACAGGTTTGAACCTAAAACACAGTTGAGAGGCAGCTCTTGAACTTCATGGTTTTCATGGTGCTAAAGCTGGCTCTGTATAACAGCCACCCTGCTGCTTCTCAGTAATGGGAAGGAAAACAATGGGACATGAGGCTGGAAAGGCCCATTGCTGAGGGCTTTAAATGCTAGGCAGAGGTGTTCCCTTTTCTGCAATAGGATGGGTCCCATGAAAAGTCCAAGGCCCCTGCAGCTGACTTTTCTCTTCTGTCTTACGACACCACCCAAGGATCATATTTCAGCTATTTTGCATTTGAGCCTGAGTTCAGTGACTGCTGACCCAGCAAATTCAGGGCCTTGCTAGTGGTAGGGTCTAAGGAGGTAGAAGTGACAGCCTGGAGCTGGCAAGACTTCGAGTCCTCACTCATTTGCCCTTCTCTGATACTGACTTAGAGCTTGTCGATTATCAACAAGCCAGCCCTAACTATTTATTCATGAGAATTGGGGTAGAAGAGCAGAACAGAGTATAAGGGACCCCTATGGGGAGAGAAGGTGGGGGTGCCCATGCAGTAGGTAAGCCCGGAATCCAAGGGCAGTCTTAGAATAGAGGCACATGGAAGATGGAGGAGTGGTGAGCAGGACATAGATAGAGGACAGGGGTGTGGAAGGGAGATAGAGGGTCACTGGCTGAGGGTTATAGGGTGGGAGGGTGTGAAGGCTCAGAATTCTGTAAGTGTTAAACTGGACTAATATAGGGGATTGATGATCCAGGCTACTTGTGTAAGAGGAAACAGAGGAAGGGGAGGATGTTATGTTTTCCTGCCCTTAAAGCAGGAGTTCGTAACCTTTTTTTGTGCTAAGGACCCCCTTTGGCAGTCTGGTGAAGTCTATGGCCCCCTTCTCAGAATCATGTTTTTAAATGCACAAAATAAAATACGTACAATTAAAAAGGAAACCAATTATATTGAATCCAGTTATCCAAAGTTCTCTTTGTTTGGTGGGTTTTAAACACAAAAGTTTACAGATCTGAGGTTAAGAATCTGTGTTTAGGGAATCCCCCTGGAGGAAATACATACCTGACATGTGGGAAGCCTCTAGTCAGAGCAGATTAAATTCAATTTGACAACTGAATGCCTATTATGTGGCAAGTACTGTGCTAGGCAGTGGGGGGAGGGGGAAGCAAAATGATCTGGCTTTTTTTAAGGAGCTTACATCTCTTCTGGAGAGAAACAATATGTACATACAGATAGATACAAGATAAAAACAGACTAAATATAATTCGGGAGGTGAGGGGAACACTGAAAACTGGGGAGATTGGGAAAGTCTTCCTGGAGGAGGAGGCATCTGACTTGTGGGTAGAACGAAGCAAGGGATCCTCCCAGGCAAAGGTGAGGAAGAAGGGTTTTCCAAACCCAGGAGATGAGAGAGACAACTTCTGGTATACCCAAAGAGACTGCAGAAATGCTTGGAGATCACCTCTGAAGGCTTCCTCCTTCTCAATGAGCACCTGTGAGTTGAAGCTGGGCAGATTTCTGCACACGGGTATGGCGGGGGCGCTGAGGAGGAGCTGGTGTCACATTTAGGTGACTGGATTCAGGAGGGACTAGTGAGACTTCATGGAAGAGAAAAGCCAAGAAGACTTTGACCTTAGAACTGGAAGGGTCACAAGGGACCAACTCCCTCATTTTACGAGAAAATGTTGAGGAAACTGAGGTCCAGGGAAATTTGTCCAAAGTCCTGTTGTTGGCTCTCTGTGACCTCATTTGAGGTTTTCTTGGCAAAGATACTAGATTACTTTGCTATTTCCTTCTCCAGCTCATTTTACAGATGAAGAAACTGAGGCAAACAGGGTGAAATAACTTGTCCAGGGTCTCACAGCTAAGAAGTGTCTAAGGCTGCATTTGAACTCGGGTCTTCCTGACTTCAGGCCCAGCATTCTAACCACTGTACCACCTAGCTGCTCCTTGTACTACCTAGCTGTCGTAGCTGTCCAAAGTCATACACATATTAAATGGCTGAATTGAACCTAGGTCCTTTTGACTCCTGAGACAAATGGGGAAGAGAGGAAGAAACAAGTATTTCTCCAGTGCCTACAGTGTATCAGGCGCTGTGCTAAGCACGTTGCACGTCATTACCTCACTTGCTAATGTGGGAGTCACTGGAGGTCTGGTGGATGGTTACTGGTCTGTGATGTAGAGGGGACGCCTATTCCCAGGTTGGTTCTCAGCAGTCCCTTCAACCCTTCTGACTCAAGTCTCTGTCCTGCACTTCCTAGCTGCCATTTACCACCTTAAAAGTTGTGATACTCTTCCTGCTCTTAAGGAATCTAAGATCAAGTTGGTGAGCTAAATAATAAATAAAAATTTAAAAAGCAGCACGAACGCGGGAAAAGATCACTCTGAGACACTAGGCTCGATCATTAAGTGCTATATGAATTCAAAGGAGGGAGAGACCACCAATCAGATGGCTGATTTCCTAACATTCCCCACCCCACTACAACCCTTCAGTTTGTAAATGAGGACACTGAGCCAGCCCCACAGCTCTGTAGATGGTCATTGTGGGGGGGGGGGGAGTGAGCAGGATCTGGGATTCAAGTCCATTAACTCCAGATAAGGAGTGGGTTTTCACTACCCCGTGCTGAAGATAAATGAGAGTTGATTCTAGCTGATTCTAGGATGGACTGGCAGCTGGACTTAGTGAGAGGACATACCGTTGTTCAGTTGTTTCAGTCATGTCCAACTCTTCATGACCCCATTTGGGGTTTTCTTGGCAGAGATACTGGATTGGTTTGCCATTTCCCTCTCCAGCTCATTTTACAGATGAAGAAACTGAGGCAAACAGGGTGAAGTGACTTGCCTAGGGTCACACAGCTAGTTAAGTGTTTGAGGCTGGATTGGAACTCAAGATGTCTTCTGACTCAACTGAGCCCAGTGCTTTATCCACTGCGCCACCTAGTGGCCAGAGTGGTGATATGGAGAGAGCCAATACAGCAGTCCATCCCACATCTAACTTGACCTAGAGGTGGGCATAGGTTAGAGATGTGATAAAGGAAAGAAGGCTTCTGGGAGGAGGTGGGCTTGGAATTGATCCCTAAAAGCTGGAGAGGTTGATTCAATTGAGAAGGCAGAGTGGAGCCTGTGAGGACATTGCAGAGAACTGAGTAGCAGGGAACAGTGAAAGATTTGGGGGATGAGGTAGATTGGCTTGACTTAAAATAGAAGGCTGGTCTAAGGAAACAGTGGGAAATCACCAGATAAATCGTAACCTTCTTGAGAGCAGGTATAAAAGCTTTTCTTAATCTGCTTATCCTCTGCACCTAACACAATGCCTAGCACATAGTAGGCACTTAATAAATGCTTGTCAAATAGAATTATTTTTTTAATGTTTAGCACAGGGCTGGGCACATCCTATGTGCTGGGTATATTATTGGTTGAATGAGATGGTTGGTTCAGTCCCTTTTTATAACAGCAAAACAACCCAAGGGAGAAAAAGGAGGCAGCTTAGGCTGGACAAGGTACCACCACTGCCTCCCCTGAGACTTTGATGAAGACAGCCCAGAGACTTGGGAATAGCATTGCCCCCAGATCACCAGTCTTGCTGAAGCCATCACCTGGGGAAGTTAATTAGTGTGGAGAAGGGGTCAGTTAACTCCATCCACTGCTACCTACAATCAAGTAAATAAGTCAACAAGCATACAATAAGAATGATGATAGCTAACATTTATATAGTGCTTTCTATGTACCAGGATCTGTGCCAAGCACAGGGGAGACAAAGAAAGGTAAAAGTTCCTGCTCTCCAGGATTTCACAGTCTGGGGGCAGGGATGGGGGACAGCAACATGCAAACAACCATGGAGAAACAAGATACAGATGGGATACGTTGGAGATTATCAGTACAGGGAAGGTGCTAGAATTAAGAGGGGTTGGGAAAGGCTACAGGGTCTCAAGCTAGTATGGAGGAGATAGGAGCGCTGCTACCATCTGGACCACCATCTCTCTCAGGGGAGGGAATGCATGATTCTAAACCCAAGAACCTGGGAACGACAGTGCTTCCAGATCATCATTAAGAAGAGAAATTACTTTGGGGAAGGGGTCCACTTTCTCAACCACCACCACCAATGGGAACAAGGCCAGAGGAGATGTGGCCTGGCTTCTCTTCCAGCTATGGCCACAGTTGCCAAAACCCTGTTAAAGAAAGTTCTTGCCACCAGAGACATTAGCCCCTTCAAGTCAACATTAGAAACATATATGATTGAATTGGTGGAAGTGACATAAAAAATGAGGCAATATCTCCTGCTGTGCTGCTGCATCCTAAAGGCCCCTGGGCCTTTCTATCTGGCTTAAAGATGAAACTTCCTATCTCTCGTTAAAGTAATACTAATAATAGCTAGCATATACATAGCAATTTAAGGTTTGCAAAATGCTCTACAATTATGATTTGGTCCTCATGACAACCCTGGGAGATATTATTATTAGCCCCATTTTACAGATGAGGAGCTGGAAGCAGTTAAGTGACTTGACCAGATTACACAGCTAATAATTATCTGAGATGGGATTTGAATCTAGGTCTTCCTGATTCCAGGCCCATTAAGCTTCCTTAGAAGAGGGACTGTATTACTTTTCTTTTTTTAATTTTTTAAAAGTATATTTTAATTTCACTAAGTATTTCCCAATTACATGTAAAAATTTTTTAACATTCATTTTCTTAAATTGTGAGGTCCAAATTCTCTTCCTCCTTCCCCTCCCCCATCCTTTGAGGAGGCAAGCAACATTCTATCACTTTTCTACTTATACACCCAAAGCTTAGCACAGTGCTTTGAAGATAGTAAGCATTTCATAAATGCTTCCTCCCTCCCCCACCCCCCCTTCAGCTAAGTGGTGCAGTGGATAGAGCCTCTGGCTGTGGCCTCAGGAAGACCTGGGTTCAAATCCAGCCTCAGACACTTACTAGGTGTGTGACCCAGGGCAAGTCATGTCACCCCCTCTGTAAAATAGGGATAATACAATAATAACAATCGTACTATCTACCTCTCTTGGTTGTTGTGAGAAACAAATGAAACACTATTTGCAAAGCACTCTATAAATGCTAGCTAGGATACTTCATTTTACATGACAGGCACACTTCAGCAAACAGAAATCCCAGGGTCAGGTCATAGGGTCCCCAAAGCTGCCCCTCCACTGGGACTGTCACATCCTTCTCCTCCCTTCTCCTCCTCCTACCTCTCGCCTCTTCCTTACCTCCTCCTCTCTCCCTCCTCCCCCTTACCTCCTCTTCCTCCTCATCCCTCCCTCCTCTTCCATCCTCTCTTCCTCCCTCCTCCTCCTGCTCCCTCACTCCTCCTTACCTTCTCCTCCCCGTCCCCCTTACCTTCTCCTCCTCCTACCTCTCGCCTCTGAAAGAGTCCGCGGGGCTGAGCCTCGACCAGGACTACATTTCCCAGGGGGCCCCGCGCTCAGGCTGGTGACGTAACACTCGGCTCTCGGGAGATCCAGACGTGCCGGGAGCCGGGAGCGAGGATGGCCGACTCGCGAGGTGACCTAAGGGCCTGCAGGGGATGGGGGGGTAAAAGGGGGACACACGGTGGGGGAAGCCCCTCGCGTGGCTCGCGACTCCACGGAGGGCGGCGGGAAGGGGGTCAGGGTTGGAGCTGGTCTCCCGGGGTAACGGGGGGCGGAGTCTCGGTCCCGGACTCCGGATGTGTTTGGGGTTCCCCGCTGGGAGGGACCTTAGGGAGAATCCAGCCGCCTCCAGTGCACACATAGGGAAACCGAGGAGCGCGGGGCGGGAGGCGTCAACGAAGCTGGGGCGCACCCCTAGGCCCCCCGACGCCGAGGTAGTGCTGTAGAGTTTGCGAAGTGCTTTAGCGACAGGAGCTCCTCTAGACCTCCCAGCAGCCCTGGGGGCTGGGGCCATTCTTATTATTCTCCATTTGACAGATGGGAAAACTGAGGCAGGCAGTGGGGAAGCTGTTACTGCCTGGGAAGGGTCCTCCTGACTCTGGCTCCTACCCACTGGGCCACAGTAGGATCGTAAGGAGCCTTGGAGGTCATCCCGTAGTAAGGGCTGGCCTCCATACAGGCTTTAAGGTTTGGGGAGTCATCGAGACCCAAGTTCAAATCCTGCCTCAGACACTGCCAAGTCACTTCCCGGCTGTCTGCCTCAGCTTCCTTATCTGTGAAATGGGGGTCATAGTTGCACCTACCTCCTAAGGTGGTTATGAGGATCAAATGAGAAAATGTGTAAACCTTAAAGTACCTACTATGTGCTAAGTGCTGGGGCTGCTTCTTTGTTTTTGTTCCCTCAAGTCTGATTCTCTGGTGACCCCATTTGTGGTTCTCTTAGCAAAGACCCTGGAGGGGTTGCCATTTCCTTCCTCCTTCCTTTGCTCATTTTACAGATAAGGAAACTGAAGCAAACCCATTTAAGTGACTTGCCCAGGGTCACCCAGTGTGTGAGGTCAAATTGGAATTCAGGAAGAGTCTTCCTGACTCCAAGGCCTGCCGCTGTATCGGCTACACCACCTAGCTGCCCAAGTGCTGGGGATACAATTAATAAGAAGACAGTTCCTGCCCTCAGGGAGCTTCCAGTCTAATGGGGGGAGACCACACACAGAAGGAGGCAGGAAAGGTGGTGGTGGTGGGGAGGCCAGAGGGTATGGGGGCGCATCGTGTTCTGGCAGAGCAGCAAATGCAGAGGGGAGTTTCTATTAATATTAATTCATATAGATATTATTAATCCATTAACATTTCTTAAGTACCTGCTGTGTGCCAGGCACTGAGCTGCGCACCTTGGATGCAAAAGGAGGCAGAAGGCAGTGCCAGCCCTCAGGGAGCTCACTATCTAATCCAGGAGAATTATACTCAATATTATGACTTTTTGTCTCTGGCTTCTCTGCTCAGCCTTGGGGGTTGGGGGTTGATCCTTACCCCATACTCACCGTCCAAGGAGGAAGCTTTGGCTTCTCATTGTTCCTAAGTGGACTCAAGCCAGCGTCATTCCCAGCTCCACTCCAGAGCCTGCCTCCTTCAGCCAAACCCTGTGGTGCTATGGAAGTGTGAATCAGGAGCAGGAGGAGCACCTAGCAGATTGTCACCTTTCCTTGGGTGCTTCTGGGGAGCTCCCTCTCCAAGTTAACCCCCACTCCCACATTGAGGTGACTCAGATATTAGAGGCCTACCATCTACCTGCAGGCTGGGGCAGATTCTGCCAAGCCAAGACGGCTCTGTAACAGAAGCGTCCACTCTGCTTCCTGAGGATGAGCCTAGCTCTTTAGAGAGAGGCCCATGACCAGGAGGCTGGTCCCCAGGAAGAAACCTCTTTGAGGGTGAGTCCCTGTGGCCAACTTGAACTCAAAGAATACAGACAAGAGCCCCAGGTGGAGGGGCTCCTGGCATTTCAGGAGTAAACACCCTCCACCAGGGCAAGTCAGCACCTTTGCAATTTGTCATCTTAGAGCTAAAGTGTTAAGGGAATTCCCTCAGGTCCTACTGCCAGTGAGTGTGAAAGGTGGGACTCCCAGTTCTGAGGCTGTTTCTCTAATGACTACAACATAGCTTCTCAAATTCTCAGTATTATAAATAGGTTTGTTAAAGTACTTATTTATGGGAAGGGTCTTACACAGAGAGAGAGAGAGAGAGAGAGAAACTGTAAACCCTCAAGAGCTGGAAAGACCCCTTAAGGGCCATCTGTTTAAAAACTGTTCTGCTAGCATTTATTAAGTGCCTGCTGTATATACACATGGTCCCCAAATGCAGAGAAATTATAGTCTAGTGGGGCAAGATGACACACACTAATCTATGCTAATGCACAGTAAGTACATTAAACGGTACAAATCAAATGCTATGTGAGATTCTGGGCGGAAATGTGATTTGTATACTGGAGGGAATCAAGGTAGACTTCTTGGAAGAAACTATTGGAATTGGGATTAAAAGGACATATGGGAATAGATAGATCCCAACCAGGTGGCCATGGGCCAGACCTGATTGGTATTGAAGGCCCTATCGGGGTAGACAAAGGCTGGGCAACACCCCATGCTTGGGGAGGAATGGGAGATAGGAAGGGTAAACTGAGGCCTGCATGTCTGGAGCCTTGACTGCCAGGTTGAGGAGTCTGAACAGACTGGGTGAGCTGTGGGAGGAAGCTCGGTGATGAGGGCAGACGATGAGGAAGCTTTATCAGGCCGAAGTGCATGGGATGTCTACAGTATCCCCACCAGGTAGTTATCCAGCCTCTACTTAAGCACTTCTAGGAAAATGGGAAGCTCACTACCTTTTTTTTTTTTGGTGAGGCAATAGGGGTTAAGTCACAAAGTAAGTGTCAGGTGTCTGAGGCCAGAATTGAACTCAGGTCCTCTGGATGCCAAGGCCAAAGCTCTAGCTCCAGAGCCACCTAGCTGTCCCTGCGCTCCACTACCTCTTGAGAGTGACTGATATGGGATCTTTGTAATGACCTTAAAGTCATCTGAAAGTACAGTTCATTGTGATAAGGTCTTTTAAAGTCTCATTAGGGAGAAGGGGCCAGCTGGGTGGTGCAGTAGATAGAGCACTGGACCTAGGGTCAGGGAGACTTGAGTTCAGATCTAGCCTCAGACACTGTGTGACCCTGGACAAGTCACTTAATCCTGTTTGCCTCAGTTTCTTTATCTGTAAAATGAAGTACAGAAAGAAACGGCAAACCTCTCCAGTATCTCTGCCAAGAAAACCCCAGAATGGGGTCACAAAGAGTTGGACATGACTGAACAACAACAACAGTTGGGAGAGAGGGGGAGGGAGGGAAGAAGATTAGGAAATGGAGAGGATGCAAAAGCCAAAGGTTCAGAGGCTGGACCTGTGATGGTCCAGGACTTCTACCAATGAATCCACTTTGGAGTGTGTTCAGAGCTGCTTCAGGCACTGAGAGCTTGAGGTAATTGTCCAGGATCCCAAAGTCAGTAGTTGCCAGAAGCAGGACTTGAATCCAGGTCTTCCGGACTCTGAGGCCAGCTCTTTAGCCCCTACAGTCTCTCAAAAACAAGAGATATCAATTTTTTTGAAAAATGGTCCTGGAACCAAGAAGCACACCCTGTCCCACTTGGCACCCGTCAACAACCACAGAGTTACAAATGCTTCTACTCACGCAATCTGATTCCAGAAATCAGGGGGCTTGTCTGTGCTCTGCCCTGTATTGGCCTTGCCGGGGGTGGGGAGGGGGTGGGAGAGGGCTCTGCCTTTAGGAGCCCATACAGTTGGAGGAACAATAGCTCAAACCATAGGGAATAAGATGAACCACATGATCATCATGGAATATCAGAGCAGGAGGGCCTTGGGGACCGGGCAGGCCAACCCCTCATTTCATTTTATTTTATTTTTTCAGCCAGAAGCAAGGTTTATTAAAGATTCGCCATGTTGGCCAACTCTTCAGGAAATCTGAACATTTGTGAGCCCTTGGCTAGGTTCTTAAGGAATCCAAGCACCTTAATGGGGACAAGATGGACCTCATATACAGAAAGACTGTGGGAGGGCTCTAGGAAGGATCTGGATAGGAGCAGCCAGCAAGCTGGGGTGAACGAGAACACCAGGGACCTGGACCACGTGGCCAAGAGAGAATAGAGTCTAGATAGGATCAGGGGTGGGAAGCAGGCCAGGGGCCTTAGGAAGGTAAGGGCTAGGCTAGGTTAAGGGTTACAGAGAATTGGGAGGGTGAAGATGATAATGAAAGGCCAGTTGATGGGATTCTAGCCTTAGGGGAACGTCCAAGATCTTGATTAAGTGGGAGAATGCAAGGAGAATCCCTTAGATAAATGGGACCCTGCTGGCAAGGGGCATAGAGCTGTCCCTGCCTCTCTGGGTCCAGTTCAAGGGTCAGACTTCAGGTCCAATGGGCTAGAAAACCTTGGACTCAGTCAAAGGTTAGTAGCCTGAGCAATCATCTGGAAGTTGATGGCTAGGACCCTGGAGGAGACAGACCTGGCAAGGAGGTTAACAACAGTTGGGGTGGCATGAAGAGCTCGCCCAGAATTTCCCTGATCCCAAACAATTAGCTCAGCTGTCTCCCACACTTCCGGGGGAACATGGGGAGGTCTGGTGCACAAAGGGAAAAAGGAGATGGAAGGCTTAACCAGATAAGATTGGCTCTCCCAACTTCACCATCAGGTCCCTTCCCAACAAAGAGGCAGGGCAAGAGGAGAGCATAAGGAAGGAGTGTATTCAAACAATAGTAATTGGGCCTGAGGTGTTTGGGGTCCCCTTGCCAATTTCTGCAGTTTCCTCCTAATATCTGGGGCAGACTAATTAATGAAATACATGCTAAGGATTCTTGCCCCTTCTATAGAATTGGGATCTAAATTCATATACTTTTAAATAGCTTCTACTAGCATGACTTGGAAAAGGGCAGGGTTTTCCTTTTCTCCCTGAGTAATTTCCTTAATTTTTTGAAAATTTACTTGCTTTTGGGGGCAGCTAGGTGGCACAGTGGATAGAGCACCGGCCCTGGATTCAGGAGGACCTGAGTTCAAATCCGGCCTCAGACTCATAATACTTCCTAGCTGTGTAACTCTGGGCAAGTCACTTAATCCCAATTGCCTCACTAAAAAAAAAAATTTGCTTGCTTTTGAAATGCAGTTCTTAGGCCTTCTAATGGGCAAATTACCATATAGTCTCTCTTTGCCCTATCCTCACTCTTCTGGGTCAGTAGTGGGAACAGCAGCTGTTTCTGGGGGGGTAGTTTGTGGGGTCAGCCAAATGGTCCCCAGATTTTTGGGCTCGTTCCCAGATTCTCCTCAGTGGTACAGCAGGTGAAGAAGATATGCAAATCACCCCAAGAAAGCTTGAAATTTAGGGACATGTCCCTAAAGCCCTCAGTAAACTTAGTGGACTCTTCTGAGTATCATCCCAGTTTCTCTTTAACCTGAATGAAGTCTAAAATGGAGAATGGAACATGCACCCTAATTGTCCCATTAGGGGAGGCAGTAACTTCTCTTAGGGAAAAAAAGCCCTGAAGGTGCTGTGGGAACAGGGGCTCCCCTCATTTTACAGAGAAGGAATCTAAAGCCTAGAGGATCATGATTTAGAACCCAAGGGATCAAAGTGCTTTGCCCAAAGGGCTGTGGGGAATTCTTGCCAAAGCTGGCATTCAAAGCGAGGCTCCTTCCACTGTTCAGTGTGGCTAAAATGAGGGTTCTGGGAGTTCAGTTTGCAAGCACACGTATGTGACCCTCTCTGCAATCACACACACAATTCAGATCCTCGGCACTCATAGGCACACACACCTGTGGGATGTTGGGGAGTCTGCTGAGTGTCCGGGAGAGGGAATCTCCTTTTCTGAGAGGGCCTAGTGCCCCAAGAGCATCACTGGTTCACTAGGATTGGGGCTGCAGGGCAGGCTTTGAGTTTCTCATAAATCAAGGGTCCTTGACTGGGCTCTGTGACCTTTATTGGAAAAAAAATACTTAGATACCGTTTCAAAGTAATTCATTTCCTCTGCAATCCTATGTATTTTATGGCATTAAAAACATTCGGGGGAGGAGATGGTGAGGGCTCCACCAGATTGCCAAATGGGTCTAAGACCCCAAAAGGATAAAAGCTCCTTCTCCTCAGTCTGCGAAGAGCCAGTGAAAGCAGCTCTACAGTTGGACTGGACCTGACCAGTATCTTCTTAGCCCCTTCCCATAAAGCCAGGTGTTTAGAAAGCACCAGAGTTTGGGCTGACCATCTTCTCCTCCCGCAGTGTTCCTGCTGTCCTGCCCCGTTCAGCATTATGCCTGGGGGAAGTTGGGCTTTTCCAGCGAAGTGGCCCAGTTGCTGGCAAACAGTGACCCAATGATGGTCCAAATTCAAGAGGACAAGCCATATGCAGAGGTGAGGAAGGCCCTTTCTCTCACAGATGAGCCATGCCCAGGGATCCAGAAACTGTCCTAGGGAGCCCCAGCCACCCTGGAGTCCTTCAGCTTCTCGTGGTAACCTATTCCCCTTTGGCAGGTGATTAGAAAGAAGGAAGTTCAACCCAACCAGTGCTTACAGACTGAAAGATAACACTGACACAAACAGATGTGATTTTCTGCCAGCAGAAAGGAAACAGGAGGTTTGAAAAAACATAATCTGGGGGTGGTTATTCTTTTTTTCCTCAAAACTTATAGCAGTCACTGATTCCCTCCTCAATTTTGAGGCTTAACTTGCACAGGGAAAATAGGGGGTGGGGGACAGGGGATGGACCATGACCCAGGACAATCAGAAGGCCCATCAGATTGATAATAATTCCATATACCTGTACAGTGTCTACCATTTGACCCTATCAACCTACCCACCTGTGAGGTCGGTGAACAGTCAAAACTGAGTCCCAGATGGAATACTATTGTGCTATAAGAAATGATGAACAGGCTGACTTCAGAAAAAACCTGGAAAGACTTGTATGGTCTGATGCTGAGTGAAGTGAGCAGAACCAAGAGAACATTGTACACAATAACAGCCACGTTGTGTGATGACTAATATTGATAAACTTAACCCTTCCCAGCAATGCAAGGATCTAAGACATCTACAGAGGCCTCATAATGGAAAATGCCATCCACATCCGAAGAAAGAACTATGGAAGTTGAATTGCTATTTTTTTTCTCTTCTGTTGAGTTTTGTTTCCTCTTTCTGATGGTTCCTCCTATTGGTTTTAATTTTTACTTACAACATCACTAATGTGAAAATATGATTAATAGGAATGTAAATGTATAGTCTATATCAGATTGTGCGCCGTCTTGGGGAGGGGGGTGGGGAGGAAGGGGGAGAAAAATTTTAAACTCAAAAGCATATGGAAGTGACTGCTGATAAATCAAAATAAGTTAATAAAATTTGTTTTTAAAAAAAATTGAGTCCCAGAGAAGTTAGGTGATGTGCTCAAGGTGCCATCTCTACTTAGTGAACCAAGTCCTCCAGACTCTAGCCCAGTACTATGGTTGCCTACCTAATGATAGAATCAGGGCTCAAACTCCATTCTCCTGACACAGTCTGGGACTACTCCAACCTGTAGATGTTTGGGAGTTGGTGATCTTGTGTTGAGATGGGTGTAGTCAAGGGGGTGTTGTGATTGCAGTTGAAGTAAACTGAGGCACAAAGTTCTGAGTACATTCGGTTTATTGGTCAGTTAGCAATTACCAATAAAAGGGGTCTCTCAGTTCCAGGCAGTCTAAAGACCATGAGATGGGGCTTGCTAGTTTTTATATAGTTTGGGGACAAACAGGAAACATAAAACAACATGACTGGTTGCAAAGTCTTTAGTATCATGATGGAATAGGCGGCTAGCAACAACCTCTCCTCCTTCCATCTTGTTGCTAGGGAAAGCTCATAGGTGGCGTCCACCTGCATGGCTAGAGTCACAGGGATAACAGTCCAGACTTTCTTGAAGGACAGCCAGCATTGCTGCAGAGATAACCGTCTTCCTGGCACCCACCTGCATCTCACAACACTTGTTGGCGAGATCACAGATCTCCCTTAATTGTACATAGAGAGTAAGATGTGTAGAGACAATATGTTTCTTTGATTTAAGGTGATTTATGGGACAACTGAATTTTAAACTAACTCACAGAGGGAAAACTGAACATCTGGACTCATGAACTTCAGAATTTAACTCAGAGACAAAGAAACATGGCTCAAGCAGTTACAGAATAGAAACAAAATCACTACAGGATTTTCTCAGGGGTCTGTACCTGATTGTGGTGCTGGCTTGATCCTCTAAGCAGTAACTCACCATCACTTTCCCTGTCTGACTAATGATTCTCTCCTGTTCAGATGTGGATGGGAACCCACCCCCGGGGTGACGCTGTGATTCCTGACACTGATATTTCGGAGAAGACCCTGGGGAAGTGGATTGCCAACAACTTGCCTTGCTTAGGGAACAGTGTCAAAAAAACCTATGGAAATCTGCCTTTCCTCTTCAAAGTGCTATCTGTCAATACAGCCCTTTCCATCCAGGCACATCCCAATAAGGTAGGAGATAAGCATGGGCCAGTGACAATGAGGGAAAGAGATTTTCTTTTTCAGGATGTCCCCCCACAGCAACCTCACCAGCCCTCCCTGGCACTGACGACGTCACCCTTCCTTGTCCAACCCAAAGCTCAATCCCGAGGCACATGACTGAACTCTCTGGGGCCTGGCTTTGGCTAGCAGGCCATGCCTGGGTATCCAGCATGGGCCAAGCACTGTGTAGATGCTCTGCCACTCTCCTTACCTACCCTAGGCCTGTTCCAGAGGACCTGAAGGATCATTCTTTTGCTATAACATGTTAGAGCTGGAAGGGACCCGTGAGGTCCCCTTTACAGTGAGAGGGGCCTGCTTTTATAGGTGCAGCTGAGGCTGAGAGACATGAAATGATTGGTGGGGGAGCTGGAACCAGAGCTTGGGCTTCCCAGCTCTCAAGATGAGGCAGGGGGATCCTCTGACAATAAGAACCTGTGTCCTCGTATCATCCCCAGGTCTCCCAGCAGCACATGCATAGCTGCGCTCACAGCAATATAGCATGTGAGAGTCACAGAGACCTAGTTCTCAGTTGGGTTTGGAGTGAGGCCAGGCCTTCCTCCCTCATGGCTTCTTGGCAAGGCCCTTGGCTGGCCGTGTGCTGAACCAGACCTGTAGCTGAGACTGAACTTATCCAAGAAGCCAGCCCCTGGAACTGAGGGGAAAGGAGACTAGGGCAAACTGTTTGGCAACACCTGCTTGCCTAAGTGTAGGTGGGTACCATGGGATGAGCACAAGTTTGGGAATGCTTCCAGGTAGCTAGAGAGGTGGCCAGAGATCCTAATGTGTTTATCGTCTCCCTGACTCCCTCACAGGAACTGGCAGCGAAGCTTCATGCCCAGGCCCCTGAACACTACCCAGATAATAACCACAAGCCAGAGATGGCCATTGCCCTTACCCCTTTCCAGGCCTTATGTGGCTTCCGGCCTGTCCAGGAGATCGTGGACTTTCTTCAGAGTAAGGCCATGGACAGTAGGGTGGGCCTGGGGCTATGGAAGAAAGGGTAACCACTGGGAGCCAGAGGGTAGCATCCTAAGGGCCTCTAGAATGTTCGGAAGACCTTTTCAGATAGGATGTGACTCAACATCAATCCCAGGATAGCTATAAGACTGATTTTGACAGTGCAGGGAAGTGACTTTCAGTCAAGCTCTTCATGGGGGTGGCTGGGGAGGCTGTGAAGCCTAGAATGAATAGTCCTAAGCAGCAGGGAGGTCTGGAAATTAAAACCACGGGCTGGCCAATGATGTGTTCTTTTGCTGGCTTGTGCCAGCAGTCTCAGGGCTATGAGGATTTGGGGGGCCCTATCCTTGCCACTTCCAGGGCAGGTGGGAGGGGGCCTGGTTCTGGTGTCAGACCCCAGGCTCATCTTCCTGCAGAGGTGCCAGAGCTCCGGCTGTTGATTGGCAGTAAGGCAGCAGAAGAGCTGGAGCAGAGTGTGGGCCAAGACCTCCAGACTATCTCTTCTGCTCTTCGAGTCTGCTTCACCAAAATGATGAAGAGTGAAAAGGAGGACTTTGAGGAGCAGCTCCACATCTTGGTGAAGCGCATCTCTCAGGAAGGTTGGCATGGATGGCTTTGGTGCCATGGTGGGCTCGGCTTGTCAATTCGATGTCTCTACGCTGTCCTGGTGGAGAACCTGGGATGCTCTAATGGGACCTTCACCCTTTTTTCCCCAATGGCGTACACCGAGTGAAACCAAATTTGGGGTGGGCACTGGCTCTTTGGTATTTCATTTTCAACAAGAGTTGCAGTTTAACTGAACATGACAGAACTTTCAAGGTAACATTTAATTGGAGTTATTCTGCATGAACTAGGTGACTCCTAAGATACTTACTAATTCAGTTAAGACTACCATTTTCCCCAATGCTCTGGATACACTTTTTCACCTCCTCTGCAGAGGAAGGGAAAGAAGATCTGGGGCTGCACGAGAACCCATCCAGCCTCGAGAGCCTTTTGTGCTCAGCCATGCCCTTGGGGGACACAAGCTATGGTTCCTACCTTAGGGAGTGCAGGCATGCTGAACAACAGACTGGCACAAGACAGGAGAATCACATATTTAGCTGGCGGGATGCTGTAGGCATCCGGAGCTCATCTCCTGTGACAGCCAGGCTAGTGTCCTTGTCAGCAGAACACGTCTTTGCTCATGCTATCCTCTGAAGCTGTCTTCTTTCCTCCCTTGGGCCTAAGGAACTCCTACCCATACTTAAAGGCTTGGGACCAAGTTCGCTTCCCCACCAGAGTCTTCCTTGACTCCCCCCCACCCACAGGAATAGCTTATCTTTCTGTCGTGTTTGACAGTTTGTGCAACATAGTACCTCATCTGATCCTCACAACTGTGAAGTTGGAGTAGTGCCAGTATTTTCATTTGACAGATGAGGAAATCAGAGCTCGGGTTAAATGATTTGCCCAAGACCACCCCATATAAAAGTGGCACTGGCAGATCCAGAACCCAGGCTCTTATTGATTCTAAAACAAGGGAGTCCAGGAAGCCTCGTGCTCTCTCCCCTTCTCTTGTGCTGTCTAATGCACACATTATAAGCTGCCTTATGTTGTTACTGCACTGTTTTCAGAGACATCTGGATCAGGCCTGTGCCCTGCCAACCACAGCCCCACCCCGCCTTGTCTTTTATTGCCCAGCACAACAGGCCTATGGAGAGGGGGGTGAAGCTTGCAATGGGGAGGATCAGGGGCCTCTGACCTGCTTCTGGCACCTCTTCCCATCTAGTGGCAGAAGGGAAAGATGTGACAGACTGTAATGGGGCACTCCTCCTGAAGCTTCACGAACAGTATCCTGGTGACATCGGCTGCTTTATCATTTACTTCCTGAACTTGGTGATGCTAAAACCAGGGGAAGCCATCTTCTTGGAGGCCAATGAGCCCCATGCCTACTTAAATGGAGGTGAGTGGGGAAGGGCAGCAAGGGCCAGGTGGATGGGTCCACAGGCCAGCTTTCTGGTCCACAGGCTCAGGGTCCCAGCAAGAGGGCCGTATTTCCAAGTAGTGCGGCGGGCCGTAGAGAAATGTGCAGATGTCTCCAGCCACTAACCGCCTTGCTTCCCTCGTTGCTTTTCAATTCCTTCTCACTACCACTTTGACTCAGATCCCCTAAAACACTGGTGTCAGCTCAAAAAGAAATGGATCCTTGTGGGCCACAGACTGACTTAAAAACCACAAGTTAACATTAACTATGGGGTATTTTATTTCATTGTGTTAAACATTTCACAATTGTATTTCAGTCTGGTTCTGACCACTGGCCTGTGCGGCCCCAAGTTTGATATCCTGCCCTAAAATAAAGCTGGGCAAAAGAAGGGGTAAATATGGGGCTGAAGCAGAGACAGAATGTCAAGGGCCTATGTTAGTGAACACTTACTTCCCTTGAGTAATCCTTTATGGGCTGCCTCCTTCAAGGTAGGAGGCTTGGATGTCCTAGGGATAGCTGGTGGTTTGAGGATGGGGTGCTGCTGGAAGAGTGTAGGCCAGCATGGCGGTCAGGGAATCTGTCTTCCTGCTTCTGTGGAGGGAATGCTAGGGGATGGGGAAGATAGGTAGACTGACCAGTGTGTCCACTCCTTCTAGACTGTGTGGAGTGTATGGCATGCTCAGACAACACAGTGCGAGCTGGCCTGACACCCAAGTTCATTGATGTGACAACCCTATGTGACATGCTCAACTACACTCCGGCCCCAAGTAGTTCAAAACTCTTTCCTCCCGTGGCTGATGAAGTTGACCCTTATGTTTTCATCTACAATCCACCTGTACCTGAATTTGCAGTTTTACAGATCAAGGTGAGCTGTGGGGATGCTGCCCCACCTCCTCAATCCCTGGGCCCTCTGGCACCCCCAGGTTAGATATGGGGTATGAGACGAAGGAGACAGGGTGGCTGCTTTAGTGCATACAGGAGATATAGACCAACTTAGTAAAGCTTGTCACTAGGCACCCAGGCTGTGATCAGCACATCTCCACAACCAGCCTACCCCATCCATTTTTCCTTTCCTCCGGGTCTACACTATACCAGTAAGTTAGGGCAATGGCAGGTCCTGCTCCCCTTTGGTTCCATCTACTTCTCTTTCCACAGGTTCCTTCTACCACTCGCTTCTACACGGTTACCAACATAGAGTCAGCCAGCATCCTCCTGGTGGTGAAGGGAAAAGCAAAGGGTAACCCGGCAGTATCCAAGTCTGAGCTCTCCTTGCAGCGTGGCACTGTAGTCTTCATTGCAGCCAATGAGTTTCTCTCATTGGAACTCAGTCCAGAGGAGGACTTGCTGATGTTCCGAGCCTGCTGTCTGCTCTAGCCTCGCCATGGTTAGCCCCGTAGTCTCCCGCCAGCCCATGTTGTGTCTGTGTTGTGTCTAGGAGCAGCTCCAAGAAAGTAGGCTCAAGGATCATGCCAGCTGTTGTTCCTTACCTTGCTCCCAAAAGCCCTGGCCCATCTGGAGGAGCTGGGGAAGGGACCTGTTCTACACAGGTGGGACAACAATCTGTCCACCAGTGGAAGAGGGATATACATGCTGTATCTCTGGAATTATTTAAGCACACAATTAAATGTTGACTGCCCCTCAAAGATGCTGTACTGGGCGGGATGTTGGACCTAATCCCCTCTCCACTCTAAGGTTCTAGGATTTAACACCAGTCTCCCTGTTACTACCCTTGGCAGAAGTCCATGGCACAACATGGCACAGGACACCCCTGTTGGAGACACTGTGCCTGCTGGGCCTGATGCTCCGAAACCTGAGCAAGGCCTTTTTCTCCCCCTCATTTGCTTCAGTTTCTTATTCTGTAGTGGGATCGAGCGGAGGGCTGGTAGCAGTGCTGAGCACATTCCTCCGAAGTTTGCAATAAGCCTCTGTTGGGCAGACCAGTGAGGTGGGGATGTATGGTTTCTATAGAAGGGGCTTCTCCACCACTGGACACGATGCCACAACCCTCAGGGGATGGCTGGTCCAATCCAGAATGGGCTGGCATGCTAGCACTTGTTTTCCTCCCTCCAAAGCTCGCTAGAGTGCCCTGCTTCTGGCAGGCTTCCAACAAGCGTCTGTTGAGTTGACACGCTAGTTCGCTTTGGTGTTCCAATGGTTTTGATTTTGACCTTAAGCGTCCACAGGAGGAACTTCTGTCAATGCAAGTCAGCATCCCACAGAGCTGCCTAGAGCTGAGGGGCCAAGCTGAGCCAGCCAGGATCTGATGGGGGAACTTGAATCTGGGTCTCCTGTAATGGGCTCACCAGGAGGTTGCCTGAACTCTCAACAGAAATACCAGGGCTAGGGAGGTGCATGTCCCTGTGTTGATAAAAACTCTGTGCCAGGGGATGGCAGAATGGGGACATCACTTTCCAAGATGCCAGACCTGATGTGAGTTTGACTTCAGACCCTTTGTGAGGTCCAACAAGCACGGGACATTACGCTGGACATCTTGCTGCCCAGTTTGCTGACATTCAAGAAAGGGTCGGTGATCAGGAGAGCTGGGCCCACGTTCCCTAGCCCCAAGCAGCTCAGGGAAGTGTCAGGTGGGTGATGGCAGAAGCTGTTTTCAGGTAATCCAGCAGCTGCTGTGTATCATTCACAGGGCCCAGGCTGAACCCACACATCCGAGGTGACAGTGCCCAAGGCCTGACAGTGTCGGAGCTAGGCCCTTGCCAGCATTAATAGTGGGAGGAATCAGGAGTGGGTACAAGAAAAATAGCCAAATGGATCCCTAGCTTGGGTGGCCTTTGTGATGTCATGACCCAGTGGTTTAGGAGATAGCTAGCTAGCCTCAGAGCCCATGAGACCTGTATTTAGTTTTCTCCTCACTGGCCAGGTGACCAGGGCAAGACATCAACCCTTTCGGTGCTCTGGACAGTGACAAGAGAAGAGAGATTTCCTGTAGCAATAAAAGCCCAGGTCTGGCCTCTTATCCCTCAGGGCTGTGAGTGATCGAGCACCTGCTGACACAGCAGCTACAGCTGAGGGGCATGCCAGTGCCCCAATTCCTAGTTCCTGCAGGGAGGAACAGAGATCTTCCTAGGATCCACAGGTCCAGATCTTTCATCTCTCACCTGGGGGCTACAACACTGACACACACACAGGTCCTGTAGCATGAAGAAATTTATTGATGTTATAAACTCTGCTCATGATAGAAAACTCTAAGCCATACACATCTCTGAATATACATACTATATACACACCACATAAACCCACCCCAAGACTGAGTAGTCCAAACCAACCGGTCCGTTTTCCTAAGTGTACTGATTGTCAGTTGCAGAGCACCAGAAGGTGAGGGACCCAAAGCAGCCCCATCACTGGCGGTGCGCCCGAGGCCACGGGACTTTAACCAGCAGCCTGGTCTGACAACAGGTCAGGGTGGCTCCAGGCAGACCCTGTCTTGTTGACTACACTTTTCTTTTCTTTTTTTTTTTGACTACACTTTTCATAGCCAGCCATTCTCTTACAAGTTCTACGCAGTGCACTTACAGCTTCCTGTTAGAATGGAATCCCCACTGATCTCTGAGGCACCATGGGCACTAGTGCCAGAAACTTCAGAGGCCCTTTTCATGGCAATGAGACAACCAAAGAAACAACTGGGTGGAAAGCCAAGGGCTAAAGCAGGGGTCGGAACAGCCCCATAAGTCTAACGAAGAACCCTGGTTCTGGCTCAGAGTCCTGGCTTTTTTATCCTTTCATCCCACTGGGGGAATGCCTGGACCTTACTCAAGCCCAGAAGAAGATCTGTAAAGGTGAGAAAGTAACCAAGCTTTTAATGAACTCCCTGCCAGGCCTGTCCTACATCCTTCCAGTGCTTTTTTCTCCCCACTCACTTGTTCTCATTCTTTACCAAAACAACACAGACACAGACACAGACACACACACACACCCTCACACAAAATAAGCCATAACACAACAACCTGGGGATACAGATGCACACAGATCCTTAAAGTGGACAGACAGCTACAGTGGAACAACTGCCCCAAAGGGGTCTGAGGTCAAGAGCAAAAGTACAAAAAAAATAGGTCCAAGTTACTGTTAGTGTTTAGGTTGTGTCTGAAATACCTCTGGCCTTCTCTTGTCCAGTCTGGATCTAGGAGGCCCAGCAGACCCTTGTGGTCACATAGGCCTCCTGTGGACTGACAAGGCCAGTGGGACAACAGATTAGCGGAGTTAAGTGACTCCAAAGCACCTTCGAGGCTGCCCCAGCTCCCTTAAATGTTCCTCCTCCCACAGAAACATGAGACCAAGTGCTGACTTGGTACAGGCAGTCCCCCAAACTCACCTGAGGGAGGACAGGAGCATGTCAAGAAAACAGTCTGCAGCTCAGGAAGGGTCCATGTGGAAGATGACCCCAAGGTGCCAGGCAACCAAGGGGAGCTTTGGCCCAGTATATTCCCAAGGTACACCAGCTCCCTCCATGGCCCACATTCCCCCAACACAGGTAAAACAAACCAACCATATGGAAATCTAAAAATCCTGGGGGAAGCTGAGCCCAACTGCAAAAAGTCTGTGAACCTAAACAAATAATTCAAGGACAAGTCTCAAGGTTTTGTATCCAAATGTTATCCCTGGGTCCTTCTGGCTGAATAAATACACTCCTGGGTGAAAATGAAAACCCAAGAATGTCTGCAGGAACCCCGACTCTGAGGCTGCCTTGAGGATTTGCTGACGTCCACCAAGAGGGGAGAGGAACATGAAGGACAGGCGAGCCATGAGGAAGAGCCCCAGGTTGGGGATGGCTGGCCCCTTTGGTCATGTGCTTCCCTGGTTTGTCTGACTCCCACTTTCTATTCCTTGGGCTAAAGCACACATCAGTCCACCAATCCTTCAGTCCAACTCCAGAGTTCTTAACAAAGGGTAACAAAAACTGCTGATCAGTCCTCTCCTCACCAAAGCTGGAGGTCAGCCTCCTCCCACAGTATCTGAATGCCATCAACCCAGGAAATAGGCTGGGGGAGCCAGGCGAGAACAAAGCCAAAAACAAAAGACCAGAAACCTCAAATAAATAAATAAATAAATGCAGGTTAGGAGGGAAAGAAGAACGAGCTGTGCAGAGCAGCCACAGCACCTGACTATGGGGTCTTGGCCAATCACAGCAATTTCACAACTCCCATGAATTGGAAATTGGTTATTACTGGGGGCTACAGTCAACATTCCCAAAGAACTGGGGCTCCCTCGCCAGAGGTAGGCTTAGGGGAAGGTGCACATTTCACTTTGGAAGGGCCTGTGAAACAACTTCTGTCAGTATCTCAAGGGAGCCAAATCCTTCTTGAAGGCTCCTCAGCTAAGGGCAGCTGCCTCTGACTCCTCTTCCCGACCTGGCCATTGAATCTCATCTCATCACACTATGCAAGGGAGCCGATGCTCCCTCAGACAATGCCAAACCAATATCTATTGTACTCAAATGATAAGTGTGTCAATTTCATGAGCTGATGACTTTCTTCTCTAAAACACGACAAATTTTGTTACCCTTTTTTTTTTTTTGGTGAGGCAATTGAGGTTAAGCGACTTGCCTAGTCACACAGCTAGTGTTATGTGTCTGAGTCCGGATTTGAACTCAGGTCCTCCTGACCCCCCGGGCCGGTGCTCTATCCACTGAGCCACCTACCTGCCCCTACCCTTATTCTTAAGAATCAAAAAAATCCTACATTTCCCTCCCTGTACAGAAGAGTCTTCTCCCAATGTGACGACTGCTGCATCTGCGAGAAGCTGAGTGTAGCCCTACATTCCCATGCACTTCCCACCTGAACCTCTAGAGCCTTTGGCCCGAGAAACATCGTGGCAGAGCATAGTGCAAGTCACTGACCTTCCTAAGTGGGTGTTTGGCTCAGATTGAAGCTGGTGCTGACAGCTCTCTAGGCCCCAGGGAAGCCACTGTCCCTCCTGTGGCTTCCCCCAAGGCAGGCGCCGCCTACTGGACAGTGCAGGAGAATGCTTCCCCGAGGCAGCAACAGCAGCAGGTGCAAGATGAGGAGGCCATGGGTTTGGGAGGAATGAGGTCCAGATCTTCATCATCCGGCATCTCATCCAGGTGATAACCATCTTGCAACAGCTGCCGGTTCAGATCCTGATTCACCTGCTGAGGGAAGAGGTTAGGATGATTAGAAACCAGGCTAGAAAGTAAGAGTAAGTGCTGTGCAAAAGTGAACGTGTTCTATGCACTCAGTGGCCAACTGCCATTGCTAGATGGGCTTTCTAAATCCCAGATGGCTCCTCTGTCACACCGGCCACCCTAGAGACCCGTGAGCTTGCTGTACATCTGACTTGTTGCTTGATTCCAAAGAGCAGAGTGTGACGCCGTCCGCCCTGCACCTACAAGAGCCACTGGCAAGGGTGCTCCCTGGGTATAATGAAGGGGAAATGACAAACCCAGAGCCCTAACCCCCAGACCCTGACTCAATGGCAACTCCTGTTAGGAAGTACCAGGCCAACCACCTCTTACTCTGCTTCTCTACCTAGAGTCAATTCTATTCAATCTGAAAAACATACGATGTACCAGGCACTGTCCTGGAAACTGAAGGTACAAAACCAAAACGGTCACATGTATTCTGAGAAGTAGAGGGACAAAGCCTGTCGCTGTGATTTCACTGGCAGAGGGTATTCCGTAGCGGACCAATGACCTGTCCAGAGTCACACAACCAGCAGATGTGACGACCTGAACCCAAGTCTTCCTGGCTTCCAGATCAGGTTTCTTTCCACTACCCGCAATGCCTACTAAATATGGAGATAAGTACATACCAAAAAATATAAAACAGTGGAGGGAGGGGCACACTTTCCTAACTGGCAGGAAGCTGGGGGTTCCAAGACAGGCGAAAATAAAGAGCTTTCCAGACATGAGAGAGACAGATTATGCAAAGGTGGGGGAAAAGGGGTAATGCTCCCTATGGGGAACAGGAAGAAAGCCAGTCTGTATGAATGCAGACTTTTGTTAGGGGAAGTAATGGGTACTCAGCCTGGAAACATAGGCTGGAGCCAAAGTGGGATGGGCTTTAAAAGTCCAAGGAGCTCGAGTTGTGTCCCATGGGCAACAGAAAGCCACAGAAACTTCTCAAGCAGGCGAGTGATGTGGCTGGCCTCTCCCTTCAGGAATGCTGTTTTACAGGTGTGTAGAGGACAGAGGGGAGAGAACCTGGAGGCAGGGAGACCAAGGAGAAAATGATTATAATAGTTAAAGCAAGAGGGACAGTGGGGAAGAGGACAGACAGCGGCCGCTGGAGTCACAAAGACCCACATTCAAGACCTGCTTCTGAAACATCCCCATCTTGGGCAAAGACTGCAGGCTGCAGAGAAGATGCCAATCTGCCTTTGGAGACGAAGGCCTTCTACAAATGAAATCACACCAAACAAACCCCTGTCTGAGTAAGAGTTACCGAAGGCCCAAATGAAGGCCCTGGGGGGTGACCAGAGAGAAAAGAATGAAGGACAGAGGTGTCTGTGGGAGCTGAAGAGACAACTAACTGGATCTGGTGAGAAAAGTCAATGACTGGGGGAACGTAAACCTAGGTGGGGCAGCAGGATAGTATGAATATAATCCTTCTATGGATACCCAGCTAAGGGGTATAGTACAGAGGGCTGGACTTGCATACAGACACTTCCCAATCAATCTCAGGTTCTTCATCCACAAAGCGGATAAAAAGCACCTCCTTCTTGGGGCTGCTGGGAGGACCAAATGAGATACTCATAAAATGTTCCACGAAGTTCGATCCTTGTCATTAGAGGAGCAATGTTCTCTGCTACAAAACTAGGACATCTTACAAGCCCAGAATGGGTGTCACCAGAAGGAGAAACTCTATTATTACTCGAGTTCCTGATGGAAACCCTGCTGCTCTGAGGCAGGCAAGGAGCCAGGCCGCGTCCCTCCCTGCCCCGGAAGTGGCAAAGGGAACCCAGCAACCTCGCCTGCACCAGGATGGCCAGAGCCCTTTATATGTGGCAGCTTCCCTAGGGCACGGAGTGCATCTGACACGGAAGAGGCCCTTACTAAATGCCTGCTGGGCACAATTATCCCATTTGCTCCTCCCAGCAACCCTGTTAGGGAGGTATTATAGGGATTATTATCCCCACTTTACAGGAGGAGAGCTAGGAGCTTGAAGGGAGGCTAAGTGACCCAAGGTCATAGAGCAAGTTGAGCAGCAGGGCTGGAATCTGAACTCAGATCTCTTGGGTCCAAATTCAGCATTCTTGCTCAGACCCACTGAGGCCTCCCAACAGACCATGCAAAAGTGGGCTCTTCCACATCTCCTCCTTATCCTTTAATGCCCTCAGTAAGAGGCAGATGCCTATTAACTGGCACTGTTCACTGTGGCAGAATCCCAAGGTTCCCCAGGGTTTCCCCAGAAGCCTTGGGCAGTACTGGACACTGACAGAAAAGCACATTATAGAATACTAAGGCATCTGGATCCCTCCCTGAAAATTTGCTAGCAGCTATCATAAGGCAGAGAGCTTACCACACAACCTTCTAATATCATTTCACAAAACATTTAAAGAGACTGTCCTTCTAGAAATCACATGCTAACAATCAACAACTGAGTCAGAGTCCAAGGGGACACCCTTCTTTTATCAACCTTCTCCAAAGACACCCCAGACATTTAAGCAACTGCTTGGGGTACACAGAACTACATGCCAAGAAGGGACTCCAGACCAGGTTCTAAGAAGACACGCCCTCCCTCTCTAGAGCCCCACTCAGTAAAGCTGGTTGATGTTCAGAGGCCTGGGGGACAGAGGATTCCATACCGCCAGGGATTGTGGACTTGCCTCTGCAGAGGAGTACCCTGATGAGTATCTGGATTCCAGTTCTCCATCACTAGGAAAAAAGAAACATAATAAAATACAAGGATGAAATCTGAACCTCAGTGCTAACTATAGCCAGATGGAGGGGGAGGACAAAGAGCTCCAGGG